ACAAAGATGATTACAAAATACATTTGCAATTGCAATGATGTTATCCATCACCCATGCGGTAATTGACCACTGATGACAGTAAGAGATCAGATGACCGTCATGCATAACCACTATTAAATGAAGATGACCGTTGAGATAATATTACTATTATTATTATTTTAATAAGATTCCACATCCACAGCCTGAGGATCTTACAATCGGCTTTGTTTTGTTACATGAATTTTTAATATATTTCAAAAACAACATTTTTAATAAGGAGAATTGAAATTCATATGCAAATTTATTGAAAACATAAAGGAGTGCACATACAATTATAAACTACATATTTCCCTGTTCATTGTTTTCAGAAACCTTTATTACTTTTATGTTATAGTATTGTTAGTATTCAATAAAACATTTTTTTAAATATTTTCAATGTAAGAATTTGTGCAGACTTGAAGTAAATATTAATAAATAACTAAAATTATTAATAGTAAATGTGAATTTTTAAAATCAATTTCACTTTAATTGCAATAGATATAGGCCTATTATCAAGCCTTTTTAATCCTTTATTAATTAAAGAGAAATAACTAAAAAATGAGGAAACACTATATTTGGGACCTAGAAATTTAACAAATATCAAGAATTCTAAATTCGCCATAGATTTATAGAACTCTCAATGTTGAATAAACAAAAACAAAATGCGAGAGAGAGGTACTTACACATAAGGTATTTCTGTGGGGTATGTTTAACCACACAAATAATATAATATACCAAATCTTACATTTTAATGTTACATGTTAACTTTCCAACTTTAAAACAACCAGGTTCCCTCAGCATTGAGTTTCCGTCCTCCTAAGTTGTAAAGTAATTTGTGAGGTCACGATAGGTTATCTCTTTGTTTTTGTAGTAAATTGTGTTGATGGTAGGTTTCAAAGCAACAGGGTATTGGTTGGAATGGACATGGTTTTACAAGTAGGAAACATAACCCTCAACAACACAAAAGTGTGAATATACTGTAGGCATGTTGTACAAGAGACATGTCAAAGAACACTAACCATCTGGCTTGTCAGATCCTGCAATGCTAATGTTGTGGGTGTATCTTAGGTCACATCTTACCCTCTTCATCACCCTCTTTTCCATCCCCTCCCCCAACAAAAGTAAAACAATAAAACATGCATCTGTGTAGTATGTAGTACCAGTACTGCATAAAACAAAGCTAGAGCAGAAACCTTCAAAATGTAAGTTTTCTTCTAAACAAAAGTAATATTTCATTTATAGTGTTGAAATATTAATACCAGGGATAAGTATTAACATTAGTATTAACATTGTAGTATTTTCTTAATCATTAAACAAAGTGAAAAAAAAAAGTTGAAACTTGCCAACATCATTAAGTTTTAACAATTTTTCTACTTGGTTCAACTATAAAGATTATTCTCTAATTTTTTTGTTAATTATTGAATTTTGTGTGGGTGTCACATGAAAATCATTGATAAAAAATTATGCACAAGTCTTTAATATTTAAGATTATAATCTAGCATGATATATATAATTTAATATTCAATAATAGAATGCAAATATTGGATCATTATAAGAATGCTAAAAAAACAATTTTTCTTTGCAAAACTTCAGTCTGTTTGGAATCAAGTGCTTAGGGGGTCCTTGAATTGAGACAGGCATTGCAAGCCTCCGTTCACCTCATGGGGAGACAATCTGCTATCCAGACCCAGGCTAGGATTTCAGTTTACTCTAAATTATTAGCAAGACTTCTTCAGGCCTCATGAGTTTTATTGTTTTTAAAATATTAATTCATTATTGACTTTAGATAACTATGAGTGTTATATGTAATCAACAAGGGGACAGTAGATCGTAGATGTATAAGAAATATTAATAAATAACTGTGTCACCCCACGTTGTCATTTAGGTGTTAAATTTGTGCCACTAACCCCATCCATCTGATTGTCATTTGCATACATTTAAGTTTTCTCCATAAAGTGATTAATAATAATAAGTATGATTAATTATGCATAATTTAAAGTTTTATCACGATTGCTCAAAGTGACAGCTACGGATTAAAAAAAAATAATAATAATAAATCGCATCTAGCATTGTCTCACTAATCAGTCAGGGGTAAACAACCACAATGTTTATAGCCCGGGTATTCAACCTTTTCAGCTGCGGGCCAGTTCCAATCTGTTAAAACCATTAGCAGGCCAATAGAAGCTGTGTACTTCTATTTTTTTTTTTATGTCAACCCTACCCATTTCCTTTTATACCGGTGGATTTGAAATAGAAGGGGGCCAGAGAAGAACTTTAACAGATAAGGGATATACCAACTCAGCCCCACCATGGTTGGGGCTGAGGTAAGAAAATTTTATGATTATGGCACCTCTAGATGGTTGGAAATAGCACTCTTAGCCACTAGATACAGTGACTGAGCACACTCAGAAAAAGCCATACTCTTGTAAACAGTGCTAGAGTAGGGGTGCCTAGGAGGTATTTCTATAAACAGAAAAAATTTTCCAAAAATCTTCGGGAAAATGATTTATTTTTAACAATGTTGCGCGGGCCGGGGGTTAAATACCGGGGGTACATGGAGTGGCGTTTCCAAAGATTTTCCGATGAAGGTTTGAAGGTCTCCAACTAGAGAAAATTAAGAATAGTCACCTCTAGTTGCTGTGAAATGGTACTATCATACTTTTAAAATGCTTTTTCAATGCAGAGTTTGTTTCTTACCCGAAGACATGGGGATATTTTATTCTTTCTGGGTGAATGAGTAAGATGAATGTAAGGATGAGACAGACAGAAGCTTAGAGAACAAAATGCACCGGAAATGAGAAAGCTTGAAGATGGCCTTAGGAGCAGCAAGCTGCAAAATATAGCAAGAGGCAATCAATAAATTAATAAATATGTTTTACACAATTTTAAAGATCACATCAATAATTCTAGGATTAAAAATGTATAACTACCAAAAAAAAAAAATCTTTATTCAATGTGAATGGGTTCATATAACATTGACGGTTCAAATTGTAACTCTAGTATTGTTAATAATTGCATTTTTCATCATGTAAGTATTAATTACTAATTTTATTCAACACACACACCAGCGATTGGGCTTCCATGAATGGAAGTCTTCTTAGGCGCGTGTCTTTTATTGTACTTGGTGCAACCATTGAGTGTTCATTGTATGAAATGAACAGAAACTAATAAGTCTATCCGAGCTCCGTTTCACTCTTCAGTGAGCAGTCGTGAAGTGCTGTAGCAGGAAGCTGAAGTAGATGATCTTTAACTAAATACTGTTCCCAGCCAATCATGTCCCATTATCTTCAAGTTCTTTGGAATATTTTGTAAACATTGACTGTGATTTATTAGTTCTTTAGCCAGTAGTATCACCAAAGGTAAATATTATACTACAGATCTGTGTTTTTACTTAATTTCAGCTAATATGCTGTATTACAGTCTTATTTATCTTCTCAAGAACAAAATAAGACAAAATTGAGGCTGAGGTAAAATATCAAATGAGTTTTTTACTTTAAGAAATAGAAAAACCATCAAATCTTACCTGTAGAGATTCATATTCAGATTTCTTTATATAAGGAAGTTACAATAGGTGTAAAATTGCATCACAGAAAAATGTAAAAAAAAATAATTCAACAGTATAATAAAATGTTTTTGTAATAATTTATAATTACAATACAGTAATATACTGCTGTACAATAATAATTTTCTATCTTTGAAAAGTGTGTAAAATAAGAACATCTTGGCAAAAAAAATAAGATCACTGCGCCTGCATAACATTTTAGTAGTTCTTATAAAAATGTATATTTTAATTACTTAAGTGAATAAATAGGCTATTCTTTATGACAGTATGTGTATTATGTGAAACCAGTACATAATAGAATACAGGATTTTTTCATTCTTTAGGCATATACCTCCCTTAAGGCCCAACATTTGCTAGTTTTTTGGATAAAAATCTCTGCCATGGCTTTATTCCTGGACACTGGAAAATTGACCTCTGCCAAAAATTGCCATATCTCTTCCTAATCTGTTTTTGATCCAATGATTATGGTAATGGGCCTAATGGGAAGTGTACAGTGGCCTCAGCATTTTGTGCCATATGAAATTCAACATTATTATTGATGATTTAGTTATTATATGCATTTCACTTGGGTCCTTGGGCAAGGCACTTTATCTGCATTGCTTCTCTCCACCCAGAAGTATAAGTCGGTACCTGGTGGGGTTAAATGCCAAAATGCGCTGATGTAGCTGCTGCAACGTTATTACAGTATTATTATTATTTATTATTATTATTATTGTTATTGTTATTATTATTATTGTTATTATTGTTATTGTTATTATTATTATTATTATTATTAATATTATTATTGTTATTATTATTAATTATTATTATTGTTGTTATTATTATTATTATTATTATTGTTATTATTGTTAATTATTATTATTATTATTATTGTTATTATTATTAATTATTATTATTGTTATTATTAATTATTATTATTATTGTTATTATTATTATTATTATTTATGTCTATTTTTACAGTATGAATCACACTTTACTTTGATCACAAATTAATTATTATTGTTGACTTTGAGTTTTGAATTAAAATTCCTAAACACTGTATGTCTTCTGTTGCGACCTGAATATGCTGTAAGACCAACTCCACTATTCTGGGTTAAAGAAGCAAGCAGTTTTATAGATGTTGGAAAATGATTATTTAAAACTGTGTTCTTTTTGCTGGTGTACCATTATTTATCTTACATTTTTGTACTTAACATTGTTTGTGTAGGCATAACATAAAAAAATTCAGCAAGTTCACTCAATGATGTTAACTTTGATGTATGTTTTGATAATTTATATTAAAATCAATAAATATTATTCAGGAGATTAACGTTATCTTAATCTGTTTGCCTTGACATGTTTCTAGTCGATTTAATCCGAGATGTTTTAAATCAGCCAAAATTAATCTGGATATTTTCTCATTGTTTTGGTTACCTCGCAGAGTCTGGAAGGTCATTGCAAGGCGTCTCACAGCAGCTGGTAAAAAGAGCCTAATTCAAACCAAAAGATACCTACAAAACTTTCAACAAGTACATATGTTAGCTGGGTACTGGTGAATATAAGCACAATTGTTATAGGTAAGCCTTCCAATTTTTTTTTTATGCAAGTTCATTCATTTATGCAGGAAAAAATTAAAGGGCGATCTACAAAACATTTTTTGATTTGACAATATGATTTTAAAATTTTATAAATGCGTCTACATTGATCTAGATTAGATTGAGCTGGATAAGGTAAAAAAATATTGCCAATTTCAACAGTGATATTTTAGAATTTTTTTGGCCAATCAGTAACCATCACTTTTCCTCAGTGTATTTTTTAATTCGAAGTTTAATTCAATTCTTTAGTTTCCATTTTATCTAGCTGATAAAATTTAGTTCAATTTAGTTCAAAAGAATTGAAGTTCAGTACAATTCTTTAGTTTCCATTTTTATCTTGCTAATAAAATGGAAACCACAGGGCTAAAACCCAGGATAACATATCAAAATTACTATACAAAGCTTGAAAATTATCCTTTCAAAACATCATACAAGTATTTTTGCAAACTCCCGCATGTTTGTGCTTTTCATTCAGCTTAGGCAACACGTAGGTCTAGTGGTTCTTTTCTTTGGGCATAATTAAGATGATTTCCCCCTAATTTTCAGGTTCCTGGGTTTGCTTAGGCCCAATAAAAAAAAGAAAAATTAGTTTGTCATCCCCACGTACATGTCTTCAATGGTATTGAACAAAAAATAGTGAAAAAATAAATTGTTTTAAATTTTTTTGGGGGGTGGGGTTGGGTGGAAATTATTATTTTCTGAATTTTTTAAAGTAAATATTTAGTAGATATTGTTTGTATCTCAATCATGTGTTTTATTTTAAATATCAATGCACCAGCAAACAACCCAAGGGCGATATTTGGGTTTAGCAAAATAAAAAATAAAAACACTCCCCACTCATCGCTTTTTCAGCCTAGATAGGATGATAAACTAATATTTTTTTTATAGGGCCTTATATAATTTTATTTTCCTTTTCTTTTTCTACAGCCAACCAATGTATTTATTTCTCGGATCCATCAGCTAGTTTCAAATATATCCCTCAAAAATGGTGATGCAACTTCAGGCGGTTTACGTCTTATTCATTTTTTCTTTAGGTAAGTAACAAACATGGTAAGGATTTTTATGGCTGATTGTAATTTCATCTTTTTAGGATATGAAAAGTGTGAAAATTGCAATTTTTTTTTATATTATTAGCCAAAAATAATCCAATATATTTTCTTTGTAATAATGTAGTGTATTATATCATTTGATGCAATGATCGCTCAATTTTTACGATGATGGTCGGAAGGTGAAGATTTAATGGATAAGATATCCTTGGTTTCATTCCTCATGAATCGATATAGAATAACAAAGAATTTTATTGTACTAGGCCTAATTGCATTGTGTTGCCATGACGATTCAGGCTATAATAACAGGAAAACGTGGGGTTGTACATATTATAGATTACAAAAATGTTATTCATAATCTTGAGTAAGGCATTGTTGTAAGGAAAGTGTAAGGCGTTTGAGCTTGGGCGACCGCAAGTAGCTTGTTAGTTGTTATATACTGCTCTGTACTGAGTTATTGTCATTGATTTACTAGCATGTGGTGTTGTGCTGATGTTTACGATCTTTTAATTTGTGACCTATTGGTCAAAACAGTCCCACAGGATATGAAGTAGTGTGTAGTATTTCCTTATTGGCCAATAGTTAGTAGATTGAATCTACAGAACATTCATAAGTGGGCCTCAAAACCAACAAAAGCTTAATTGAAAGAATAACAGCTCTACTTTTTGCCTCACACAGCTATTTTTAGGTCATGTTGTCTGAGATTGTGACATTTATGTGTAGGTTGTTTTCCCGTATTAAGTACGTACAAGATATAAAGATATATTTATTAGCATACTATCATTAGTGATAAGGCCAAAAGTCATGAAAATTCTTTTCTTCTTTTTTTTTAACCAAAGAGGAGCCCAAAATACTTATGATTCAAATGCCCTTTTTTTCAATCTTTTAATTAATAGATTTGATACATTAATCATAAATACAGTATTAGTCTTTTGCCTAGCATTTTCCAACCAACCAAAATCTATGGAGTGAATGGTGATTGGCAATGAGCTGTTGAAGTAGGCATAGGCCTATAGTAGTATTACTGACTGTCTCTGATTTTCAGAAGTCATTGTGTTTGGAAAAATATTTGTAAAATCCACACATTGCTAAACAAATGAGTAGGCCTATTTCAGTCCAAATCAGTAGAATTCAGTTTAATTATTTTAATACCATAATTAAATTCATTTTTAAAATACATTGATTAAATAATACACCCTTAAAAGGGACTTCTATTATTTTGTTATTTCCTAATTATTTAGATAACTACATTTTAAAATATGGTTCCTGACATCCTTCAGGAATTATATATTTCAATCTTCACGTATATTTTTTTGCTGACATACCGTACGGAAAAACTTGTAGAGTAGACCTTTACTTAAAATGCCAGGAAATATGAGAAGAATTATGTTTGTGTTTTGTTCAAAGTCATTGCTTGTAATACAACTTGTACTACATATTACTTGAGTAACAAGACACTGGAAATCAATTGCTGTTCAATTGACCTGTCAGTCATTAGTGGAGAAAGAACAATGTATCCTTGGGTGATGAAGGTATACCTCCATGATTTGGTTACCATAGAAATCTACTCTGAAAAAAAATAGCTAAAATGTCAAATTTCATACTGTAGGTCATTCAAATTTCATTTTATTCTTTTTATATAAAAACTAAAAGTGAATCTTATCTTATTAATCTTATCTTGTGATTAATGGAAGAATGTCACTTTTTAAATATTCACCAAAAAATCTTTTTATATGAAGTGCAAAATCTATAGGCCTGTCATCAAGGACATGCCATCCTTATACATACCACTTTGGAATGATAATATTGTTATCTGGTCCCAGATGTATTGTTGCGATTTACTAAATATTATTACCTACCATTCAGATGATAATTTCTTTTTCCTTGCGATAAAATTCACCCTCCCATTTTCCGTTTCAGTTATACAGTGGCGGATTCAAGTCTGGGCCCGGCCGGCGCAGGCCTCCCCCATCTCCAAATTGTTCAAAATTATTCAAATTTTAAGTCTGAGAGTGCAATTTCCGGCCATCTATAGGTGCCATAATCACAAATTTTCTTAACTCAGCCCAAACCATAGTGGGGCTGAGGTGGTATAGATCTTCCATCTGTAAAAGTACCTCCCCGGGCCCCCTCTATTTTGAATTCCTGGATCTGTCACTGTCATATTACTAGTTCTTTCCAAGTTGTTGATGATTGAAGTTGTTTTTTTGGCTCCAATCTTTACCAATAGTTTCCTGTTTATAGGTCTGTTATTTACAACTATTCTACTTATCAAAATGAAAGTAATATTTAGTTAGAATTGGTTGTACTTGTTTGATTAATTTACCACATGATAGATCATGATATTGGTTTCTATTGCTATTTCTTAGGACAATGTCATGTGTTTTGCTGGAAACAGATTTATTTGCAGATATTTTTATATACCTTTTCTTGTTCATTATTCATTGGCAGTATTTTTTTAATACGCTTTGGTAAGATTAGAATTTTGCCGAAAATAAACTGTTTATTATTCTGTGACGACTTAAGGTTTTAAAATGAATGCGCTTTGTTGTGATTGTTAAGAGAATTTGTTTTAGAAAGGCCGCTATGCGTCAGATGTGATGCCTTTAATTATTTGTGTTCTTTTATCAGGTGTTCCATCAATTGGTTTTCAATTTTTGCTTATCAAATTTTTAACGAAAGATCAGTAAAGGAGAAAATTTTTACCCTTCCACTAATCCCTGCCACAGGTGGCCAATAAGAACTCCATTTTATTTTCTTTTACCGACACTTTTTTTTTTCTTTTAGTTTACGCTTATTAAGTTTTGTTAATCACACATCTGACACCAGACACCGTTGCACCAATTTTTTATTCTTGTCTTTTTTCTGATCTATAATAACTTATTCATCTAACTAGGAAATAGTTATTCAGTGTATAAAGAATAATTGTATTGATAAGGATCGCATTCCATCTAGTTTGATAGAGACTTTGTGGTCTGTATTTTGTTAAGAATGGATTTAAGATTAAGGGTTTCTGAAGGTGGGGGACAATAGAATTTACTGGCCCCTGGGGTATAACAACTTTCGTTGGCTTTGACCTACCGTATTTGCACAATGCAAAGTATTTACCAGAAGCTTAAATATCAATTAAGATTCATTGTTGAAATTAATTGAATGAATAATTTTTCTCAAACAGGAATATGCTTTAAATTTGTACTTTTGAAGTGGATGAAGTATCATGATGGAGGTATAAAACTAGAGACCAATAGATCATAAATGTTAATGATCATCCCTTTAAATAGTCACCACCACCTTTCAAACTATTTTATTAGATGTGACACACTCCATAAAAGTAACTGTTAAAAAAATGTTTATATTAGTGTAATAATCTTTAATAATAATACTGTGAGGTATTTAAATATATCTCTATTAATTAATTAATTAATTAATTTGTCACTAACATTTATGGTGATTTTATTTTTATTTTACAATACAGTAGACCTATATAGGTAGTACAACAATTAATAACTAATGAAAATATAAATGATTTTAAAGCCACAATAATTATATAAAAATTAGTAATTTTTATTTAAAAATCTATAAAATTATATAATCCTATGATCTCTACCCAATATTTCATGTCGAACAATGAATTTTTGAGTTTCTTATACGCTAGATCATTTTTTAGCCGCATATTTTTCTCTATAGGCAGAGTACTTGTAAACATGTTCATTTGACATGTAAGATACATTTAGACAAAAAGTTTTAATGTTGTTGAAGAAGATCAGAGGAAGTCCACATGACCTACCATTTCCTCATCACCTTCCTGAAAAATCTTGCATAATTAAAACACACTAAAAATCTTTGTTTTGACTCATCTTTAGTTTGTATTTTTTATATAAACAATTATAAATTGAGTAGGAGGAGCTTTGTGGTATACTCAGCAGGGGAGATGTGTGCTCACATAGGCATCACTAATAGGTGATGATAGGTATGAGAGAGCTAGTGTAAATCAGCATATCTTTAGGTCTCAAGGTAAAACCTAGAGACCTACCATCTGAAAGTCATCATCCACTATCTAGCATCATATTCCAGCTAGGTTGGGGTCAAGTGACAGGTAAGTTGAAGCTGTATTTTTATGATGAGTCCATGATGATGATTAAACTTGCTTGTGAATGCATCCTTCAGTTTTCAAATATGACACGTTCGGAGGACTCAACATCCAATCATATCACACGATTTAATTCCAGGAGCAAGAAATGCGAGATAAAATGCTTACAAACTTAAACACCAAAAATACCTACAGATTATCTCATACCAGACCTACAATGATGCGTATCACATTTATTAAACAGCATTATAATATTTATAGCTGAATTTCACTTAAAAGAAAAAATTATATACCTTTATGCACTACTGACTTTTGAATGATTTATCATTTCAAAAATATAATTAAAAAATTCTACATTACAATAAAGACAAAAAAATCTTAATAAAAATTGTCAAAGTTTATCTAGGCACTCCAACCAAGGCTTCACGTCCATCGGAATTGAACCCAGGAACCTGGGATTGGAAGGCAAACATCATAACCGCTACTCTAGAGACTATAACAGTGTCTTTGATAAGTTATGATTTATGATTTTCAAATAACATTGATTGCAAGAGTGCACAATATTATGTTGCCAGACAATGCATCATTTGGTACAGTAGAAAATCTTGACCCATTTTTCTGATAAAATTCACCAAATATAGTTTAAGTCAGTCAAGTTAATTCATTCCACACCTGTTGTGTTTTAAGAAAAAATTTAGATTTTTCCTGAAATTTTCACTATGAACAACATCATTAATCATTACTAAATTTCAACCAATCAACAAAAAAGTTGTTGTTACCCATTGAACTTTGACAGATACAAGGAGACAACATTATAGCACCTCCTTGTAAGGTATAGACTAGAGGGTTGAAGATGTGAAGGTAGTTTGTAGTAAATATAGACCTAGATATTAGACTGTCGCATCATATAGTTGAGTCCGGTTCACAATTGAATGGGGTACATCCAGTACAATGGCAAATCAAGGGGAGGGGAAAGTGGTTCTTGCCATTTTTCATGTGATATTTTTTTATTTAGAAATAGATTTATCAATTGATTGATTGATTGACTGACAAATTGGTTCATTTGTTGGTTTGAGAAATTAAGATTTAAAAATAATAAATAATAAAATTAATTGCTAGTTTCACATACCCACTTTCATCAAATTTTGGAGCCTCATTTTTCTATTGCTATTTTTCCAAAAAAAACCAAAAAAACAAAATATAAATGGCAGAAATAAATTTACAAAGATTCATTTTGCTTCTTTAAATAAAAAAAAAAATAAAAAAATTACTATTTACCAGCCTGTTTACTATTAGTATAGAGGATAGTATAAAGCAAATAGTAAATACTCTCACTGAAAAATAATTTCAAATGCCGAACAATTAATTTTATTTAGCCTAATCAAGTTGTAGGGGCCTATATGTAAAAATAATAAAGCCAAGTTTAGAAAATGATTTATTGAGATTTGATTTAGTAGAAAGAATAAGATAAGATCAATAATTAATTAAATATTCATATAAATCTGTAAAATTCCTTAAAAATATGGGAATTGTTATACAAATTGAAGACCTATTTAGTATCAGGAGCACTGTCAATTTAACATTTCGTAAATTTGAGACAAGTAATATTAGAAACTCAAAGCATCTCCTCTATGGATAAATGGAGGTTTGTTTTCAAGAAGCTGGAAAAGTGCACAGTCTTACCTCACGCCTGCTGCTGGGGATTGATTGAGACTAATGTCTTTTCTACTTGACTATTTAATCCCAGTAATGGATAATAATATAAGCGACGTAAGTTGCTGGATTTAGCGGTAAATTTAATAAGTGATATAACATAGTACACATTATTTGAGTCACTTAAATAAATGAGGAAAACATGTGCGTTGTAATGCAAACCCATTAAATAATATTGTTATCATGTGAAGATATTTTGGCACAAATATATTATTTTAGATGTATGCCTTCAGAAAATCAATGTGGTCCTATCTGCAACATTTTATTGGTGCTCAATAATAACATATCTCTATGGTAATATTCTAAGTGAATTTTCTTTACAGGCTTTAAAACATGTACTTGTCAATCAATCAATCAATCAATCAATTTAATGGATATCACTTTCGTAACAGTGGCACACGTTGGACAATACCCAACGGTGCATCCAAATATAAGAGAAAAATAATAAACTTAAACTAGGAGTAAATTAAGCTAAAATGTATATACAAAGTAAAATTTATCAACATGGCATGTAGGTCTATGTCATTAATGAATTATATTTAGTGGATTGTCAATATTTTTGCACTAACAAATTAATTGGTATCACACACAATTTCCTAGACATAACCTCCTCATGAGGATTAACAATGCTAAATCATAGTTATCATTTGGTTTAAATTTTATTCTAATTACAACAATTTTGCTGTTGTTTAAAGACTGCTGTAGTTTTTTCCTTTTGGGATTTAGTTTCTCATCCAAAGGATTGTTACTGATGACCTATATGTTTTCATTTTGACATACCAACTCAGTTTTCACCAAAATCTGCAACAAAGGTTGATTGGGAATTAATAGTCTTACAATAAATCTCCTGGTTATAGTACAAAGTTAATCATAATGAAATATCTAAAGAGAAATAAAACCATCGTCATCAGGAAAGGTTTATGATGACAGGAAACACTGAAAATAGCTGTGGAATACAAAAATAATTTTGGATATTAAATCTATATCAATTGTACAAATACCACCAGATGGTATGGGATAATAGACTATAAAGTGTGTTGGGTTTATATTTAGGCTTGATTTACTGCTACAAGTCATTATATACCATCAGATTTATTGTTCCAACCGTCCATTTCTTTCAAAGTCAATATCCATGATGAAGGTTTCACGTAAACATTTATATGAACCGTTTCGTTATTGCCTTTCGGAAAAGTCAAAGCCACGTACAACAATTGCATAGATATAAACCTTGTCTTTTTTGTACATCTAATGCAATCAATTTTTAGACGTCACTACATTTGTGCTGTAATTTACACGTTGGATTTAGTGGAGAGTTAAAACAGAAAATCCACTGACATAATGTGAAAGGTGAATCATTGGTCATTTTCCGTTTATATTTTTTATGTAGAGTATCAAAAGTAAAATATATAATTCTATGTGAAATTTAGACAATACGTGTTTTGGATTTTCTTTTGAATATTAATAACTATTTTTATTTGTTTCATCAATCTACAATAAAGGTAATTCATAACACCAGAAATGCTAATACACAATTATAGTTAGATTAGAGACCTATTTTTACAATTCTTTTTGAATATTTATTCATAAGGTTGATTGTAGTAAATAATAAACTAATTATTTCAGTTTTTTATCAAATGTTGTATTACCATATGTCATAATACATATATTGAAAACCCTTAAAAATTAAACAATAAATCAATTAAAAACAGACAAATAATTATTAACTTCTTAGCAATTCAATGTTTACTGATAATGAACCTACAACCTATATGCAAAGAACAAAAAAGCAATTTATTTATTGAACTTTAATTTTGTAGTTTTATCATAGATTGTAAACAATATCTTGAAAGGATATGTTTATACTGAAATAAATGAAAAAAATATATAAAACAGTAAAAAAGCAAAAGTATCACTTTCAGACTAGTCAGACTGGGGGTGACCCCCCCCCCCCGTTGGGGAGAGAAACCACAATTCGTCGGGGAAAAAAAAATGTATTTTCTGCATATTATTAGACTCTAAAATCAATTAAATAAGCCTTTGAAACCCCTAAATTGTCAAAATTTTCCGGGACTTCGCTCCCTGCACCACTTTAAAAACATTTTTAGCAACTTTTGACCACGCCCACTTTGCTCTCGTTGGGGAAATCTTCCCCCTCGTTGGAGTATCCCCCCCGGTCGGGGACCCCTGTTGGGCAAATCCTAGCGCCACCCCTGCTTATTTAGTAAAATGAATATGAAATAAATAAACGTCATGGTTACTAAAGATTAGCACAGAGTCATGCCAGTATATATGTGCAAAAAAACTGAAGAACAATCTAATGCGTGTAAATATATGAGTTGATAGTACAGTACTTTTATGACTGACAATAAATTTTATTTCATGAGCTTTTTCCCCCAATCGATAGGGATTCATCAGGTCATTAAATGTTTGAGATCACATAATATAAACATATAAAACATGTTTATAATAATGTCAATTAATTTACCATCAAACTTTTTTCATGTAATCCACACTGTTGGATATTTGTTATTAGGACTGCAGTTTTTTTTTTTTTTTTATATTTTACATGTTTTTTTGTTTTTTTTAGTCTCAGGACAACAGTCTTTTAACCAGCAGCCACAAGATACAACTGTGATAGAGGGCGCCACAGCCACTCTCATCTGCCTCATCAATAACTTGCAAGGTGATATTTATTGGTTGAAAGGAGCTGTGATCCTGGGCTCTACAACTGATAGGCAGCTGCCTACTTACCCAAGATATCAAATCACAGGTAGGCGGAACCTCTTTGATCTTGGTCCTGAGGTTGTAGGACAAGGTGTTGGGTTGAGACACAACCTTTGTGTAAATCTAAGAACCCATGAAATGTGTTTGCACTGGAGCATGATGCCAAATTCCTCAACATAATGCCTTCACTTCCTCAATAGACACTGTATAAAACATTCTTTTTAAAGTGTTCGGCTAAATTTAAAGCATCTACAAAGTATTTTTTAGGGTTTTGTACAGGTTTTGGAAAATTATAAACATTTATTTGAGTGTTTTCCAGGACCATGAAAGTCACAAGTAATTACTTTAGCTATGAAAAAGTTACATAGATGTTTGACTGTAAATACCATTATTGAATTATAATTCTGTTGCATTGTTTTATTCATTTGAATTATTTATTGACTATTATTGACTTCTGTAAAAAAAATTGTTTTAAACTTAGAGGCTATTTAGATTTTCTGTATCAGTCTGTATATGTTATCGTAATTTTTTGGGGGTGGGGGTAAGTGTTCCCAAGGGGTGAATATTTTTGTTATTATTTTGTTTGTTTTTTTAAAGATGTTTTCCTTTTTTGAAGTATTTTTCTTTAGTCTTCAAAACGTTTAATCTTTAAGAATGTAGAAATACTATTTCTTTTAAACAGACATCCAAGTCATTTTTCATAAATTAAAAAAAATTTATTAAAGTATATCTTCGCTTTACAGATGAAATATCTGGTGGCAATCTTCGTATAGAAAACGCTCAAATTGAAGACGATGACGATTATACATGTCAAGTGTCAGCAGCTGCCAATAACCCTCAGTTAGTCTCTAACAGCGCACATCTCACGGTTCAAGGTACGTATGTCATTTCTACTCGAAGCATTTTTTTGATGATGAACAATACATCGTAACTGGCTCCAGCCAGGGACTTAATACATTAAGATTCTCCAAGATGTTCAGAATTTTTTGTTGCCAGGTGGCCATAGGCACCAAATCAGCTGAGTGAGGCCTTTAAGGAACAGAGTGCGTAAAGAATGTCATCAAAATGTTGCTGCGCCCTTAGAATGTAAAAAAAAAACTGAAGCGTACCAGGACCTAAAGTATATCCATTAGAATGTTTTTGCAATGGGGGCATAGTGGCATTAGCATCTATTAGGACATATTCTGTTAAAAAAATAACAAATTTAATTAAATTTAGCAAAATAGGCTTTTCATGATATCATTTATAAATAATATAATACATAATAACTTTTCATAAACTTATTAAATTGTACCAAAGATTATAAAACTGCAAGAGTGATGCCCTGATTTTGTATACAGCAAGGTGTGCAGGCAATGGAACGTTAAAAGTACTGCCACGAAGTAGGGGGCGGCCTACACATAATTTAGAAAATCGTACGCGTTGCTCGAATCGTTTAAAAGCCATGCCACTTTGTGGAAGTACTTTTTGCGTTCCAACGAATCTCCGGCAGTCGGACCTCTTGTAGTTTTATACATCTTTGATTGTACTTTTCAGTGGCTCCTGATGATCCTGTCATTTCCTCATATACAAACGGCAGTAAAGTTACAGTTCTACCACCGAACACCATTGCTCTGACATGTGTTGCGAATAACGCTCAGCCCGAAGCAAATATCACTTGGTATGAGGATAATGACCCCGCTGTCGCTGTACCGGTTGTTGTTATTACTGATGCTGGCAACAAGAAGAAGAATGTTGCGAGTACAATTACATTACAACCCACCAAAGCACAAAATGGAGTAGAGATGAAGTGTAGAGTAGAACACCCAGCTTTGGAAGGATATTCACCATTCACAACTGTTACACTGGATGTACAATGTTAGATTCATTTCTTATTTTTGAAGTATTTTTGGACCTAACTACAGTATAATCAAGTTTACCTACTTGAATTCATCAAATATGCAAGCAAGATAACTCAATTAATATGAATGTCACTCCAAAAATTGACAAGGCCATTTTATTCTAGGTTTCATTTTTATTTAAGCATCATCAGGAATAATACATAATACAAAGAGGGTTACCAGAAATCATAATTAATGTGCATTTATTTAAATGAGGCAATTAAGTATGTGAAAATGTAATCAATGAAATTGTATGTGCCTCAAACCAATGAAAAAGTGAAAATTTGAATCAAGCAATCAACCAACCAATAAGTCAATCAGTACAATCAATCACTTAGGAATTTAAATGATTAAAGGAGTTGCCTAAAACATTGCAATTTTTGGAATTGATTCATTGAAAAATACATATGCCTATGATGTTGTATGATGGTCTGTTCTTTGTTGTAGATGCGCCCAATGAACCACAGATTTCTGGCTATGAGCCCGGGACTTCCTTGAGGAAAGGAGAACAAAAGTCCTTCACATGTTTCTCAGTAGGTGGAAATCCGCAACCTGATGTAAGAAAATTGATTATTTTCATTACAAATTAAAGTACCTTAATTGTCGCCTGCCAGCAGTTGCAGTATGAATGCCTTAAGTTATGTCCAGACAATAAAATTTTATTTGACAAAAAACTGTTATATGCCCATTTACTGTATAGCCATGATGTGCCTATATATGGTCATGTTGCGGTGTTATCATGACCATATTTTGGCATTTTACATGTTTTTGTCAAAGTTTGATAGACCTCTGACACTGCCAAGATACAGTTGGAGTGGATTTGAATAGGGTCTTTGTTCAAATCCTAAATATAGAATTGAAATAAAACTACCTAAAATAAGGCTATTATTTATTTTTAAATTATTTAAATAATACTATAAATTAATGTTATGTGGCTTTTCCCAATTAGGTGTTTTGGTATAAGAATGGAGAGCTATTTGACTCATCGTACACGACTGGGGGTAACATGGCCCAGAATGAGTTGGTGTACACTGTAGGATACGGGGACCACAATCTTCAGCTGGAGTGTAGGGTCATTAGTATAGTGCTGGCGACGCCGTATTCAACTACTATTACTTTAACCGTTCATTGTAAGTACATTCCCCTTAATCGTATAAACCAATCAGAGGATAAAGAACTCAGGATGTTTATGATAGACATAGATAGATGGATTCAGGTTTACAGCTGTTGCTGTGAAGATTGGCGAGTCAAATGGCCAACAGTTAATGCAGGGGAAAAAACTTGAAATAGCCCACAATAGAATAAAGTAAAGAGTAAAAAACATGAGATGTTTGTATTTCTTCCCATAGATGCTGCAGCCTATGTAAATGTTACTGGAAATGAGAACTTAGTGAGGACAGGTGATTCAGTCTTGCTCACCTGCACATCAGGTAAGAATGATTGTCCACCTGTGTTTGTAGGTCAGGTTGTAGGTCAAACATTTTGTAATATTTGTGGATGATGATATCAATATTCTTATAATAATCAATGTATTATTATGTCCTTTATTCCTTTCTTTGATGATTTATATATAATTATAATTTTATATATGTATGTATGTATATGTCGATTGGAATTACACCGCAAGATTTGAAAAAAATAATTCTCGTAAGTCGGTCTAGCGTCTGTCTCTTATACACATCTAGATGTGTATAAGAGACAGGGCCTAACTAATAATAGTACAGTATACTAGGCTGCTAGCTATGATGGTACTGTAGTACGTAGTTAGTAGTATAACAATGTCTGTGCTCTAGCCTAAACCTACCAGCAGCTGCCTTTCACTGGGCTTTTATATTTTGTTTGTCTTGTTGTGGAGGCTACCATCTTTGTTTACTTTATAAGACGATCTTTGACCAGAAGAAAATGTGCATGCTTTGCTAGTTATTGATTCACCAATCTAATGATGGTTAGATGAAATATGAAAAGATAGTGTCTAGGCCTACTGTCTAATTATTAATATTTATTTATTGATTTCAATTTAATAAAAATGACATTTAGTGTATTGACATGTATTATATTATATTATTACTGGTGTACCATATACTACTACTAGCCTAGGCTTTTTATTTTATATGGCTTTTCCCGTCAAGCAGATGATGAGTTTAGGTCCAAAGACACAGACAATAATAAATAAACAGATATCAGTTATAAAAGAAAATTTAAAAATCTTTGCTGATGACGAAGACTGCATAGTCCTTCACATTCAGCAACATACACAGGTATGCTATGTCTATACCTAACATAGAAAATATTGACATTTGATTTCAGATCCACCTGATCCACCGTTCATATCTGGTTATCGAGGGGCAAAGGTCAAAGCTGGTTCCATCATGTCTCTGACATGTGTGTCAGTTGGAGGCAATCCCCTAGCTGACCTCAAGTGGTACAAAGGAACGGAGGAGTTGGTGGGGTCTCATGAAACGAGCAATCGTCTTGTCAACAGCAAGCTGACATGGATTCTCTCCCAGGAGGATAACCAGGCAGTTTACAGTTGCAACGCTAGTAACAGCGCCACTCCAGTTCCTCTACATTCATCAACAACACTCAATGTTTTGTGTGAGTAAAGTAGAATAGTGACTTAACTGCCATCTTGTATGTTGATAATCATCCATACATCCATTCAGTCAATCATTCATTTATTCACTCATTCTATCACTTACTCCTTATTAATTAATTAATTAATTCATTCATTCATTCATTCATTCATTCATTCATTCACTCATTCACTCATTCACTCATTCATTCATTCATTCATTCATTCTTTCATTAATTCATCCATTCATGTATTTATTCTTGATGTTATTATATCATTCGTCTATCATTCATTTGTGTTTTTAAATTTATGTATTTATGTTCATATATTTGCATTTTATTGTTAAATAATCATCCATCCCTTCATTTTTTTATTTTTAAATTCATTTATTCCATTCCATCCATTCAGTTACTTAAATTTATTGATTCTATTGAGGAAATCAATTTAAATTGGTTTTGTTTACCATTTACATTTACATATAATCAAAGATACTATAAACACAAGGTAGAACTCTCGGCTAGCAAATATGAAGCAAATATACGTCATATCTTTTACACAGATTCAGCTGTACACGGCACCCTTCTGTTTTCAAGTATCCAGATCAGATTCAGCCGTACACGGCACCCTACTTTTTCAGCTAATGATGGAAACTTTATCAATAATCAGATTTCGGTCATATGATTCTGCGCTTTTGTGTCTTGTCATTTTATTTATTTGACTTACAGTAGGCCTTAAATTGTTTTGTGATTTGTTTATGCTGAATTATTAGTATCTTACGGATAATGGCAACGATTTTTACAAATTCTGGTAAAAAACTATGTATAGGTGTGCCATGGAGTAGCAAAAAGTGGTCATATGACTACTGTCACCAGAAAGTGTGCCACTCCAGCATGTAGGACAAGCAATATAATAAATAATTCAGAAGAAAAAAATATAAATATATATGATATTGTTTTTACAGTTCCACCGTCATCTGTTAATGTGACCGTAACTGCTGGGACGATTCAAGAAGGCCAAAATGTTAACATTATATGCAGGACAGCCAGCAGTAATCCAATATCAGTCATAACATGGTATAAAGATGGAACTGAAATCCAAGGTAGTGTACTTAACAATCCTTCCTACTCACCTTCTCACCTGATTGCAGACTATACAGCTAGTCTTATGTCATGCTTGAGACTTCAGTCAACATAACTGGCATCAGCTGACCATTGGCAGCTAGCAACTGACCTGAACACTGCTTGTTTTCAAGAACAACTAAACAAATTTCAGTTTTTCAGTTGCCCATGTTCTATTTTGGTGCGATCAATCATCGATCAATGTCATATTTTTACTATTCTTACTTTTCTTAATATTATAATAAATATTTGATATAATATAATATATTTAATATTCTTAAATTTAATAAAGTTAGATTTGTTAAACATCAACACATAGGCGTAATATCTAGTTATGATTTATCATAGAATAAGCATGTACAATTGATACAAAACAAAGCCATTCCATCGTTAAATATGATGAAGCGTGTAATGAACTTGGTTGGCCATCCCTCCAGAGTAGGCGAAGTTATTTTAAGTAGTTATGATTTTACAAAATAAGAAATAATCAAATGCCGCAGTGTTTATCTACATTTAATTTTCTTGAAAATGTTGAATTATATAATTTATGTGGCATACAGTAAGAAACTTCCAGTTTGCATAACTGAATTATATAATTTGTCATTTGTATACTCTGTTACCTCTGGTTGGAATGCCTTTAGCAATAATTAAAAAAATTCCACATCAATATCTATTTTTTTAAAATTAATTAAAAGAAGGTTTTCAAACAAAAATAAAATATTATAATACTTGGTCCAAAGAAATTAATTAAATATATACGGATCAGCCTTGGTTTTAGTAGCCTTAATTCTCATTTATATTTTTATGGTTTAAAGACCAATCTAGCTTGTGCTTGTGGGAATAGTATAGAAACCCCTTTTCATTATTTTATCTTTTATCCCTTTTTTGTTGTTACTCAAAGTAAAAAGTTGCTCAATGAAATTAAAAATCATTTTTTGCAGATTTCTCCTTTGTTATAAGAAATAATGATCAGAATTTCATAACTGATTTGTTCATTTTTGGTTCCCAGCATCTTACAAATGATGGAAATTGTGTTTTGTTTAACAAGGTTCAGACGTTCATTTTAGATAGGGGAAGTTTTTAAATTTTAGTTATTGATTATTATATTTACTGTCTGTCATGAACTAAAAATTCAATTCCATTAAATTTGAATGAGAAAATTGTTTCCCATACCAAATAACGGAATGTTAAATAAATACCTTTTCTGTATATTTTTACATATTGTCCATTTGAATTTAATGATAATCAACTTAAAGATCTTTGTAGTAAAATGTCTGTTGATCTGATTCATCTATTTTAATGAGCTTTTTAAGGTTCAGATTAATTTTTTCTTTGATAGACAGTGTATCTTTAAAATCTTAATTTTTCATTTTTGTGCTACCGTATTTTCATTTGTATTATGAAGTTTTCAGATGTGCCTTGTTACTAAGGCTGGAGATTGCCATGTGCGGCACATCTGTGTAAAAAATATTGGGAAAAAGAAACAAAAAAAAACACAACTTTATACACACCTGCCTGTATATACACCCATGCAGTACAGCCACATCACAAGTGTAGACAGAATTAAGACAACTTTATGTTTCTCGCTCTAACTTACACCACACTGCTTGACAATATTTAGGTGAAGACGTTGCCAACAAATCAGGTGCTAATGGCGGATACATAACACGTAATCGATTGCGTCTCCAAAAGGTCGGTCCAGATGATAATGGGAAGATATTTAAATGCAGTGCCCTCAACGAGCTGTTGACTGAGAGTGTGAACGATGCCGTCACTCTAAATGTTAGATGTTAGTACATTTCCATATTAATTTTATTATTTTTAATCACAATTTGAATAATAGGTAGTTTAATTGCATAGCAGTATTTTTGGTTTTACTCTTAAAGTGTTTTTGTCTAAAACATGGTAACACACTACATTACTCTCATATAAAAATTTGTGGAAGACTGCTATATACAAATATTGACAACTATGTTGACAAAATACAATTTGAGTAGAATTATTAAGTTTATGTATTTTAAGGCAAGACTTTTTTAATTTAGCAAATCCGCCACCCGCCAATAATGATGATTTCAAATAAAAATACTTTTTTTTTTTTGGACAATTAGCGCAGCTGCAGCCACAAAAAAAATGTTTTCTTTATTTTTATTACGCCCGCTGCTGTCTTGAAATCACCAAAAATAAGATATGTATATTTCTTCCTTATTATATATATTTAAAGCAATTAACCATTCTATTAATACACTGTTTACGTTCACCAATAACATTTTATTGTTATTTTCTCCTCCGCCTTGATGTTTTTGGAGAGCCTACTTGCTAGTTAAAAAATAAGTGTTCTTATTTTTTTTCCACCGGTATAAAAAAGTTTCGCCTAATCTGCAGTGGCAAATTTTGAAAAGAGAGCTTTATATAAACTTGTTGGAATTCCTTAATGATATGTTGTGTTACATTTTGTATTTAGATGCCCCTAAAATGACCGTGGAAAATGGGACCGTTATCCGTAAAACGGAGCTGTCTGGTCAAGTGAGACTCGAGTGTGCTGCCCATGGGAATCCAAGTGAAGTAACATTTAAGTGGTCGAAAAATAACGTAAATATATATCTTCCAAATTCCCGATATTATATGGAAGACTCTGGTACTTTTGTAATACGCAACGCTACTAGAACAGATGCTGGTGTTTACAAATGCCTAGCAACCAATGAAGTAGGCAGCGGTTACATAACAGCCACTCTCAAAATAGACTGTAAGTGTTTTTTGGACTTTTAATTTATATGCATTTTATTATAAGACCAAAAAAATCCTCAAAGTGTAAAATAATACATAAAATATAGACTATAGACAAATAATTTTACAAATAAAGAATAATTGCAAAAATTGTCAAAGCACTTAAATGAATGTATAAAGCACTTTAATGATTATATAATTATGAGGCCTCTATATAAACTATATAATTTAGAGTGATAATTTCTGTGATATTTTTAGAAGCCATAGGATTGGCTATTCATCATAGTTTTGCTATGACAAAAATTGTCAAAGCACTTAAATGAATGTATAAAGCACTTTAATGATTATATAATTATGAGGCCTCTATATAAACTATATAATTTAAGAGTGATAATTTCTGTTATATTTTTAGAAGCCATAGGATTGGCTATTCATCATAGTTTTGCTGTGTTAAAAAGTGTCTAACACTATTTTATATTCTTCATCCATATTATGGTTGCAGATCCACCAAGGATTACTACAGGGGAACATATAATTGTCAACCTGGGTACGCCTGGACAATTGAGATGTGAGGCCACTGCTAACCCTAAGCCATCTGGCTTCATCAAATGGAGTAGGGAAGGCTACGACATCAGCAGATATCAACAGGAGTTCATTAACGATGGCAGTGTTTTGAAAATTCCAAGTGTTTCTAAAGGGGATGGTGGACTTTACAAGTGTCAAGCAGATAATGGCATTGGTGCAGCCACATCAAAAGATGTCCTTGTTATTGTACAATGTGAGTCACTAAATGATAAGTAAATGTAAATGTGAAATGAAACAAACAAAAAAGAAAATAATGAATATAAGAGGAAAATTAAATTAACTATTAAAATCAATATTGACAGGGGTTCCAAATTACAAGAAGATAATTTCGAGAGAGATATATAGTAGGGGATCCAGGGATTTGAAATGGAGGTGGGTGGGGGACAGAGAGGGACTTTTACAGAGGGATGGTCTGGAGTACCTCAACCCCACCATGGTTAGGGCTGAGGTAAAAAAAGTTATGATTATGGCTGGAAATGGTATTCTTAAATTTGAATATAATTTTCTTTTTTTCTCCATTTTTTAAATAATTTTCAAATCTTTAGTAAGGTGGGTTATTTTCCGTGAGATTATTGCTTACCTACAGGAGTGCAGTAGGCCATCCCGATTTCGGGTCCCGGAAATCGACGAGTTTATTGATGACTATTAGTTAAAATATATAGAACAGTTATGCTTTGTTTTCTAAAGTATTTCTCTTGCTGTCCCTCTCTAGATAAACCTGAAATTGACACTACAGGTAATGGTAAGGTCGCGACCAGTACCGGTGAGACGGCGCTTCTAAAGTGCAGGGCACAAGGTGCTCCAGTAGTGAAATTTAAGTGGAAGCGTTTTGGGAAAGATCTGAATACGACCATTGATCGTTACACAATGGAAGTTGGCTTATTAAGGTTGTCGGATTCGTATGAGTCTCGTTTGGTGATCAACTACGTGGATGAGGTAGAGGATTTTGGTACTTACACCTGCATTGCATATAATGATATTGGTGAATCAACCTTCAACATTGTTGTTGAGAAGAAAAGTGAGTGGAAAATATTCTTATGTTTTTTGTTGCCCTTCTTGTTGTTGCCCTACTGCAAATGTTGCTAGTATTAATATTGTTGCTGTTAGTAATGTTTATGTTTATGTTGCTGTCTTATTGTTGTTAGTGTTGTTACATTTTTTATGTCTTTCCCATCTTTAATTTTATTTATGTTACTCAACACAAATATATATATGCAGGATTAGTGACAATAATAAAGATGATTACAAACACAACTGTGATAACCCACTGCTCATTATCAATACAGTTTAAAAAATATTTTTGATGAGATGGTTGTTGTTAATGTTGATGCTGCTGTTTTTGCTTTTATTTTTTTCCCATTGTCGCTGTTGTTTCTGTTGCTTCTCTAGTAGTTGTTACCGTTGTTAAAAAATTATTTGCTACTCTATTAATGTTATTGTTATTGTCATTCAAAAATTATAATAATCTGGCTATTTCACTAGGTGTTCCTGATGCTCCCACTGGCCTTAAGGTTTTGTCTGTCACACATGATTCTGTTAGACTAACATGGCTTGCAGGTAGGTCTATTGACTTTGTATATTTTTATTTGGAAGTAGTTCATTGCCACAATCTATTAGGTAATAAAAACACAAAAAAGTGCCGTGATCTTCATCAAATAGTGCTTTATATTTTATAGGTTTTCACCACTGCTTCATCAAGTTTCTGTTCTGTTTAGGCTTGGGTAGTTGCTTATACTTGCTGTGGGTTTTTGAGGCACAAAACGGTTTCTAAACACTTTGTATCTGATAAGAAAGGGCTCTATATAAATGCCAAGAGTGTTATAAGTGCTGTAATGTATGTATATATGTATGGTATATATTTCTTTATGATTTTATTATAATTTATTCTCAGGTTTTGATGGTGGATTGAATCAAACATACCAGATTCGATTTCGTAGGGGCGATCTCACCTCATTTCAACTGATGGATGTAGAACCCCTATATGCCACCATTTTTACAGTTACTGGACTAAATCCACTTTCAAAGTACGAGTTTAGTGTCAGAGGTCGTAATGATCTTGGGTCTGGACCATTCATTTTGAACTCTATCGAAGCAACTACTAGTTGTAAGTACTCATACCAATATTAGATTTTAGCCAGATCAATGCTGTGACAAGATTCATAAGATCGCAATACGATGATGAAGCGCCGCATGGCGGATAGATTTTAGTGGCATTACAAGTAGTTATCAGATTGGTATTCATCATGGAAGCAAATTTTATTGGCCAATGTTCATTTCTCATTTTGAGGATCATCAAGCTATAATAATATGTGCATTGAAAGTGTAGCAAATATCTAATTTCCAATACTGTGTCTTTTAATCGGATCTTTAAGCAACATATCAGGGGCATACATGTTTCAGATCCTTGATGAATGATATGAAACAAACATTGTGATTAATGTAAAGACCGTAAATATTACACAAAAATCACAATTGAGAGAAAAAACTAAGAATCTACCATTAAATCTGAGATAATTTGACAAGATTACTGTAATATTTTGTTTCTGATTATGTTGAAGGAAATAGTTTGTTTTAATGGTAGTTTTTATTTATTATCTTACAGCCAAGCCTTCTCAACCACCGGGTTTCCAAAAGATAGGCAAGTTCTTCTTTAAATTTATTGTATCTATTTTATAAAATAACAGCAAAAACAATGATATTAATGATGATATTGTTGTTGTTATGATTGTTATTTATAATCATTAAAATTCATATTATTAATTATACTGTTGAAATTATTTTTGTATTGTTATAATAATTATGTTGAGGTTGATAGTTGATGATGGTAATCATAATCACAATAATAGTAATTATAACAATTTTTCGTTTCAGGTGCTGCTGGTGTGTCACTATGGATCGTGCTTTTAGTTGCATTTTTTGGATTCCTGTTCTGTTGTTTTGTGAATGGCTTCTTGTGCTGTTGTCTTATCAAAAGGAGGAAGGGGCATAAATTAGGTAGGTGATTTCAAAAGGTTGTAAAGGTTAAACTTGACCTGTGGAGCCAAGGTCAATACCACAGTGCACACTCCAATTCGAGACCCCTCTAATTCCAAGACCCCCTCAAATTCAAGAACACTTGTTTGAAGAACCAAATAATGATCTTTTAATATTTTTAAGTAGACCAAACCCCAAGACCGCAACAAATGTTTCGGTCCCAAATTCTGAAATATATTTTATGCTAAATAATATGTTGAGCAATACTAGTCTATTACAATAATCAGAAAGTAAAGCAAATGTAACACTTTGAATTAATTTTTCATATCAGTATATATATATATAACTTTATTTTAGGGAAATCTTCTCCAGAACCAATCAGAAAGGAAGATTTTGAGCTTGCCAAATCGTAAGTTATTTCTTCATATTTTTTCAAGTTTAAAGTATTTTTTTTTCACACTTAAAAAAAAATTCGGTAAGCATAAGTATAATTATTATTACTATTATTATCATAATATGATTATTATCTTACTGTTATTGTTTATGTTATAAAGTTCTATTAAAAGATCAAATTACCATTACCATTACCATTTTTATTTTATTATTATTTTATTGATCCAATACACAATTTTCTGATTTAAGGCAAACTTCTGAGAATCCGTATCAAAATGGAACTATATCCAGTTACGATAGAGACAGCTCCAAAGAGTCTGATTACGATCCTTACTATTACGGAGATCACCGATCATACGATGACCGACGCCGTGATCGAGACTTCAGCGATGGTGCTACATATAGCGAAGAGGATCGGTACAGCGACAATAGGCAGATATCACCAACGCCAACAGACTGTTCAGAATACAATGGTGGATTATATAATACAGGTTACAGGGCACCCCCAGAAAGACCGCCCTCTTACAGTAGCTTTGATTCCTATGCAGGTAAATGTAACAATCATCTCTTTGCATCATATGCTTTGTAATTTAAAATTTGAGCATGTTTATTACATGCAATATGTTTAATGTGATAGTGAGAAAAAAATAAGATATAACAATAGATAGGGTAACCAGAATATCTGGAGTCAACAACGTATCGAAGACTGTGTGGGAAACTCAGTAAGAGACCTGTCTTCCTTAGGGTTTTGATGGTGTATTTATTTCTTATGCTGCCTATTTTTGTTGTGTTTAATTTCAGGTAACAGGCTCTTAATGTTCAAATTTACCAGATTTTTATCCACCTCCCCTCTCCTCTACAACTAATTTAATGAGTTATGGTAGGGGTATTGTTATAGTAGATGACAGTGGCATATCTAAAAGTCTTGAAATGGGGGTGCTGTAGGGGGGAGGCGTGAGTAAGTGATTTTTGGATGGCGACTGGTGGGGGGGGGGAGTGCAAGTAATTTTTGGAGGGCCCCCCCCCCATGTTTCTTCTGTAGTGAATAATTATTTTTTATATTCTCATTAGCAAAAGTTTTAATATTATTAAGTGATTGTTCCATATTATTTCAGGTGGACGTGGGGGCCTTACTGGAAGCATCATAACTGAATCCCAGCTTAGTGAAATTGAAGAACAAGAAGAAAAAGATTATGCAGATTTACTACGAATGAAACAAAGCCAAGTGCAAAAAACTTTATCTGGACAGGTAAGCAAATAATCAATATATTGAATCTTTGAGAATTGAAGATCAGTGTCAGGTTCAAGGGGGCCCAGCCCCCCACCCCCTAAAGTTTTAAAAAAAATATGTTTTTAAAATGAATAAAAAAGGAAAATTATATTCAGTAGTAGTCTGAGAGTGCCATTTTCGGCTAATTAGTGGTGCCATAATTATAAATTTTCTAACCATTTCCAACCATCAGATGTGGTCTGTGGAAGTGGGCCCTCCCCTCTCTTCTCTATTTCGAATTCCTGGGTCTGCCATCAAAGATAGATGTAATTCAATTTCTTGTACTCTTATTTTAAGGTTCTAATTATTTCATTTTTCTTAATGTCGTTATTATAGGTTCGCCAGGTCTCAACACCAACACCGCCCCCAATACAGATGGGAAACTTTGTTCCGCTAACCAAAGCCCAACAGCCAAGTCAATCAATACAACGAGATGCAATCAGTGAAGAAGGTTTTCTGGTCTGAAATCAGCTTGAACAAATTAATGTTACTGGCCTTCATTAGACACCATCTGCAAGTCATGTGTCCTATAGTTGGGTCGATATTATAAACAGACACAAGCAAGGCTCAGTGAAAAATGCATCGTTCCTGAATATTTTTTCATTAAGGCACGTTGTTATTGTCAAATGTGTTAGTTGGAACACTGGTAAACTGGTCTAAATCACTTGAAAATTGAACTTGAACATTGTCATAATGGTTTGTTAATGCTCCAAATGATAAATGTTGACAAATAACTTTCAAAAATAGCTAGGCCTATGATTTTAATGGCTATAGCTTTAGGATCGTAAAGGATTATATAAATTCCAGAGCTTAGAATGCATAGAAAATGCTGTACTGAGTATAAGAACACAATCATGAACAATCATGCTGCCTTTTCTTGCCATTTGTTTCCCACATCATTGGGATGTTGTTTTAACCATAAAAATTCCTCTTATACTTTTACGGCCAACTCAGCGATATAGTTTATTGGGCTGTGTCATATGATTCTGTCTGGGTTGGCCTTTACGCTGATCAAAGTATGTTACACCAACTAAAGATCACATGACCACTAGTTCATTGTTTTATCTCAGTGTGTAAATGTTTTGCAAGATTCAACATTCCATAAAATTAGTTATTATTGTATTCAAGAGATGGCCATACAGAGTATGAATGTATTATGTTCTGAGTTTCAATTAGAGCTCATAGCTCTACTAAGTTTGTACTGAATCTATTAACCAGCAGATATCAGTTGACACTCGGTGGGCCTAATAGAATCTGCTAAATAAAACTGGATTGAATCGTTAACCTTAAGTGACTTATGGAAAATTGTGGTCGTGTGTGAATATTGTAAACTAGAAAGCATTCACCAAATAATTTCTAGTAAGTGTTTTAATTGTGGACAATTGTGGAAAAGAGTAACAAGTGTCCTTTGGACCAAGAGGCTAAGAGATTTTTTTTAAACATGGTGCATATTTTTAGCTTTTATGGGAAAATCAATGGCAGTTTGATGGACATAAAAATGGTTAGTGCACGCATACGGTGACTGACAACTGTACAGCTTCATACATTGTGTCAAATGCCATTTCATATATTGATGAGACTTTCTATAAAATGTAGTTGTAAAAGGTGCAAATGACACATTTGATATTATAGGTGTTTTTGTTTTTTGCTTGAGCCAAAATATGTCGGGTAGAAATACAATAAAATTACAAAATGGGGGTAAATATTGAAATTAATTGAAATATGGCTCAGGGTTGCACACATTTTTTAGATCATATTTTAAACTAATGAAGTTGTTCTAATAAAATTTCTATATATGTAAGTTTAAATAAGCTTATAGCATTTCTTCATGACATGTACACAAATACCAAGGAAATTTTTATAATTTTATTTCAACACGTGTCGAATATGATGTATTTATAATGGTACAAAATGAAATTATGCAACTCATATTTTGTATATTTCAATATCTTTAAAACTTGAACGTAAACAAAAATTTAAATTTGCATTCCCTTACTAAGAGATTATTGTTGCCTAGGAAACATAGTTGTCTTAGTTACCATATTTAGTTTCTTGATGTTGCAATAACCAATATTCTCCATTATATAGTCAATTAGGATTTAAAAGTTTTATGAAATTTCTGAGTACTGTATTGTCAGTATCTGAGAAAAACCAAATTGCTGGGTACACGCTGCGGCGATGAAACCACCGCAATGAGGGCACGCGTAATGGATCTTTTATAATGGCAATCCATTCAGAGTGCTACCTACAACTGACGGCTTTGTGTCATCAAGCATTCACTGAGAGTGGAGTGTATACATCAGCCAACAATTGTACAACTGTCATGTGACATACCGTACAACTGTCATGCAACACTGTGCTTGCCCAACTTTAGTTAATGGTGTATTTAGAGGGACTACGCCCAAATCCTACAATTGACAATGAGAAAAAAATACTCAACACTGAATTTTTCTGTATGTGATTCAAAACCAACAATGATATTTATATAGTATACTATATATTTTAATTTTATGTTTGACAAATAGTTTTGTAATTATTTATTGAAATATGCAATTGTACACTGTATGTTTTTGCTTTCTGACCAATCAGAAATGTTTGTTTTGGTCACATGCATGTTTATTTTTGTTCAACTTCTGTTCTGATACAAGGACTTCTTTACAACCCACCAAATGAGAGAGATGGTCAACAAAATTATTTTCTATGAAAGTACCAGTATTACTAAACAAATTGAGACTATAAAATACCTTGCATAGGAATGAAAACAATGTAATGTTTTTTAAAAAAAGCATTTATATTAACATAATTAATTTAAACCATTTATGTACATTACATGGATATCAAGAAAATCGTAAATTGCACATGATAAACTTAAACTGAAGCTGAGTGTATATAATCACTTTTTATGAATTAAAGAAAGGTTATTATAACAGTTATTATTTTACTTATGAAATAATATTTCTGTTAAATCGAGTAAAGTGGATCTTTCCGAAGTGTCAATCAAACAAATGACCAATCAGAACATTGCTAAAAATACCCACAAACACACACATATCCCACAATGCATTATGCTACCAAGTTAGCAACAGGTCTGTTATGTTTATCATGTGTATGGACTGCCGTCAATATTTTTTAACCAGTTGGGGAAATCTGTTTGTGATACTGTATTGGCTCTGAGTGTAATGCTCTGTGCAGACTATCAAATTTTATTTGACGAAAAACTTGATGATGTGCCTGTATATGGTCATGGTATGACCATATTTAGGCATGTGATATGTTTTTGTCAAATAAAATTTGACTGTCTGGACAGGACTAAAGGTGCAAAGTGATTATGCAAATAATAGGTAGTTTTCGCCGCAAGACGTTAAAGGTTGATGTCATAATTTATTCATCTTGCGTTGCAGAGTATTTACAAAAGGGGCGGAGCTATCGCGTTGCATGTTTGGGTACTAATGTTAAAGTTAAGATTAACGTTGTGCGGCGAAAACTACCTAATGAATTTGTGGTGCTCCCAAATGCAGCAGCCCTGATATTGTGTGCTAAAAATTTATATACTGATTTATTTTTAAATGTGAACATGACCTAAGCAGAAGTAAAAAAATCAAATACAAACGGTGTATTCATGAATGAAGCTCTGTCCATGCTATCAAATTTTATGTGACAAATAATTGTGATGATATGCCCATATTTGTGTGTAATATAACATGCCCATAGGCACATCACATTAATTGTCACTTAAAATGTTATAGTGTGGAGAGACATTAAGCATAGAAGGCATTTAGAGGTACTATATATATTCATTTTTGTCTTTCTTTACAATAATTTGTATTCAGAATTCTGTAGCTCCCTATATTTTTTCTGCATGTGTATGTATTTATATTGTATAAAATCTTTGATAATACTGTACCTATAATGTATTGCTATTCTGACATATGCTTAATGAACAAAAAATAAAGATATTGAACATTGAGACTTCTTGTTTACCTAATTTCTAATGTTTTCTATACTGTATGATTGTTTTTATAGGCCTATTACAGTACTTATTTGATGCAACACCTTTCAAGATTACTTACATAGACATAGGCTTGGTAATAATATACCTCCTTATCTAAAAAATCACCCTGATAATATAATGAACAATTTATTAATCTTAAATAGACAAAGCCTAGCTGCAGATGCCTTAATAAACTTGTACTGTACTGTGTGTACATTCATATAACATAATTGTATGTACAGTATATAATGCATAGGCATACCATAAATATATACACATATATTTAAAAGAAATATTGACATTTGATAACGCAATTAATACATACAGTATAATGCATTAAATAATAGTACTGTAGCTTCCTCTCTGATATTGAATCTTCTAGTTTTTGAGAAGTCATGTCTTAGAAGCATCCTTGGTGTCTTAGGAGAAAAATTCAGAAACATAGCAATAAAGGATACCACAAAATGCTGTTCATTCTTCATCACCACCATCATGATCATTCGATGATATCACACTATCCATATCAATTGCAGTGTATTTTTTATTTACTTTTAATTTAATAGTACTACTGTTGGCCATTAGTTTCACTGTGATGAAAATATGATTTTATAATTTTATTTACATTTTCAATCTGAATTTACCTAAGTGTGTACATTATTTACTGTGAGTATGCATTTATATATGCAATGTAATCATTAAAAAAAAGAAATGTGTGTGTGTGGGGAGGGGGGAACACACACATGAGTATCCAAGAGGCGGGGCTCAGTGCGCACCGCAACAAGGCTACTGTGTTACGCGTTCCACTCCAGTGATCCCCCATAATCAGTGGTTCCGCTCCAACGATTTCATGCTCGACAAAAGGGTGATCAGAAGTTGTTTAGCCTAGGCCTCCTGTTCAGTTCATTTACACGGTTAGTATAGAATGATATAACCATGATACTTTAAGATACAGTATTACAGTATTATGTTTGGGCCTAGACCTAGGATAGTATGTTTATTCTAGGCTAGGCGTGCTCAACACTGGCCTACTACTAGGCCTATCTATATTATAAACCTACTGGCCAGCAGAAGAGCCAGCGCCGATGCATTGTTTGTACGAAGTGTCTATGCTTACGCCGAGTCGTAAGCATTAGTCATAGGAGGCTATGCTTACGCCGATCTATTGAGCATGCACAGGGCTGGCGTAAGCATTATATAGTGGCTATGCTTACGCCGGATTGCTAGTCAACGTAAACAGTCAACTCGTTGATCTGCTTACTATTTCACGTTGTCGAGGCATGAGCTTTGTCTAGTCCACAGTTTTCCAAAAGAACAGGCATCGTCATGAACTGAGGCAGACATATTAGTACATTCCCACACGTTTCCTCATGAGTGCCGTCTGTTCATTGTGATACAGTACTTCATTGTTAGATAGGCCTATCTAGCCCAATTTATGTTGATATATTGATACAATACTATATCTGAAATAATAATGACAATGTATCTATGTATGATGTGTAGAATGTTGGAGATGACCTGCCTGCTGCAGTGATATTCTGATTTTAAATCATTGTCCTGTACACTACAGTACATAATTAAAAAGCGAATAAAATTCCCTATAAAATTCTTAATTTTCCTATTATGAACAAGTACGCATACAATAATTACAAGAGAGCGTGACACAGTTTCAATCCAATTTTGTTATTAATATACACAAACACTGTAGTATATTTCGGTTTAAGCACCAAGGTTTTCAACAACTGAAATGTTTGAAAGGAAACTCTCTTAAAAAATAACTTTCTTTTCTCTACTAACTAAATGATTCGATGTGCAACAACTGTACCACGAAATATGGGCTGTACTAACTTAGCTCTGATTATTAACATGGTGAGAACCATGAATGCAGGCGTAATCGATTGAATGGAATTTTAATTCGGGGTTGAAGTTTCTTTTAGGTGCACGTTTTTTGACAGAATCGATGCTACGTGAAGATGGTTTATATAAATTTATGTGATTTTAATTTTCATAGCTTGTGAAAGTGCCACCGAGACGCAAAGTGTCTTCATCTGCCATCTTGAAACTTCACCAAGTGCGCGCTACAGAAAAAAAAAATATTTGCACATGCTCAATAGGACGTTTTCGTACTCACGAAGCAAGCGGCGCCCTTCAAATAGATCGGCGTAAGCATAACCTATGATTAATGCTTACGACTCGGCGTAAGCATAGACACTTCGTTGTTTGTATGGTCCGTGGATGGTCATGGTGGATGCCTGACTAGCCTAACTAGGCCTAGCTAGGATTATGCCTAAAACTAGCTAGGACTAGGCCTATGCCTACCTAACTTATATAATATAGGTCTATTAACTGCACTTATCCTAGACCCATTACATATTATTTTGTAGGTCTGCCTATCTATGGGCCTGTCTGTGTACAATTAAGTATTTACGATTTTATATAATTATTTGTTTGAATATGTGTGGGGCTAGATCAAACCATATGAATCATGATGATGTAATTTATAACACTCATCATTCCATGTAATGTAAATTTTACAAATTCTATGTAATCATACAGGTGATGTTTGCTTATTTGCATAAATGCCGTGGATGCATTCTATTGGTTGGTGAAGGAGATTTCTCATTTTCCTTATCTTTGAGCAAACAACAGCCACAGTTGCTATTGACGACCACCTGCATAGAAGATGACACTCCCGTAAAGTACAAGTATGCGAAGCAGAATATTAATAAGCTGAAGGAAGGAGGTAATGCAAATGCATACACACACACAGGGGTCCCAAGTCTCCTGCAACCGGCAGGAGTCTCCGGACGGAGAACTCGGAAGAACTCTCACGAGCAAAAAAAATCTCCCAGAAAAACACTTTTCCCGCACATTCATATGCATGCTTTTCGGTGCTGGTATTATCAATTGTCTGCTGGAAGTCGGCGCCCATCTCCATACACAGCACAATACAATTAGATGTATTTTAAAAAACAGATCTCCCGGAAGTGGCTTCTTCCAACTTGGGACACCTGCTTGCAAAAATGGCCGTGGCTATGCTTTCGCCAAAGTGGTCAAAATCCCAGCGTGCTGATTGGTCGATTTGGCTTTACCCTGACCTTAAAAATACCTCTCGCTATCTTAACGCACTACAGTACTCTTTGTACAAAAATACATCACTCAATATAAAAACAATAATCTAATATGCCTGATATATCTGATAATTTGATAATAATAATGCTGAACTTATAATAATGAGTGGTGGCTCCAGAAATTTGCCGATGGGTACAACAAATCTGATGGGGGTCCCAAATTAAGGGGTCGTCTAGAGCCACCACAATATTAGAGAGTGATAGTCGATCATATTAATTTTTAATGGACAAATTTTTTTCAGGCAGCAATGTGATATTTGAAGTGGATGCAACAAGTATTGAATCATGTGAGCTGCTAAAGGGTAAGCAGTTTGATGTGATTATCTTCAACTTTCCTCACACTGGACGTAAGGCTAGGATCCAAGACAACAGAAAGCTTTTGATGGATTTTTTTATAAGGTAATTCATCTCAAAATTGAACAAAATCTACAGTGATATAATATTTCTCTTATTTAAAGGCATGATATACTGTACTTGTGTTGTTATCCCAAGAATTCACTGCCACAATCAGTTCAGGAGTGTCCTCATTTGATAAACTTTTAAGCACCATCATATCATTTTTATTTGACAATCTCTTGTAATGTTTACAGTAATTAAATGGGCATCTGTATGTGATGGCTTGGCTAAATGTTTTGTGCAATTATTAAGATAATTTCCTTCGGGCCTTGCAAGCCCTCAGGAATTTTTTTCAAGCATTAAATCTAACCTTCGTATAATAATTTTCCTGTAGTGTACTATGCGGAGCTCTACTAATTGCTTATTATTAAGAATAATAAGTGACAATTATTTCTTGCTTTACACTACAGTGCTTCCAAATTTTTAGTTCCTGATGGTAAGGTGCTGATGACACTGTGCAATGGTCAAGGTGGCACTCCAGCTGACAAACCACAAAGGGAGTGGTTCAATTCTTGGCAAGTTGTTGCCATGGCAAGTTATGCTGACCTAATACTGACACACACTGAAGAATTTGTTGCTGAAGACTTCCCAGAATACTCTTGTACTGGATATAGGTAAGCTTCATTATTTCTAAACATGTTTCAGGAAGTACTGTACTCATCTTTACCCCCAGTAGCAGTCAAACAATCACTAACCAAGTATGAAACCAATTGACCTTTTCTGGAATATCAATCAAACTTAAGTGACCAATCAGAACCGGGTTAGGACTATGCATGTGTTTTTATTTGCATCATATGTCATTTTGTGGGACCTTAGCAACAATATCCAAGGGGCGGGGCTTAGAGGAAAGGTCAATTAGATAAGGAGTTAAACTTGTTAAAACTATGAAAGCTTTCTAGGGGCATAGCCTTTGGACCCCCATATGTAAGTGAACTCCTGAAAACTTTTCTCTCTTGAGTCTTGACCATAGATTCAGTTGAATACTGGTCTTTCTAGTGTCATGCTCATTAACACCTTAATTATCTTTTTTTTTTCTTTTAGGGGTCAAGGCAAAGGTTTTAATACGGAAGGTGCAATAACACATATTTTTGAAAAATGTCCCGTCAGACAGGAACCTGCAGCTTCACCTGTTCTACTGCATCGTGGTGATCGCATATTTATTTGTCCTGATGAACTGAGTGTATTTGCAAGAAGGTGTGTTTGGTTTCATTGTTTTAACAACTGAATTAGAAATTTGTAATTCTGAGGTTTCTGTAGCTATATGTGTGTCAATGTTTTGAACTACTGGACCGTTTATGTCGTGGTAAATGGGATTGCAACAGTAAAAACCTTTTTACATATTTATTTGCTGTTTGTAAACACTACCCTTGTAAATTAAATTTAAATGATTTTGTCATTTATTATTCTTTACAGAAATCTTCTACAAGATACTGACAGTCCAATTTGTGAAGTTTATCACCGAATATCTGAAAGATGCACTTCCATGTTCAACGGTTTATTGATAGAAGAGTCGAAGGAACATGATTTGATCAAAGAAATAAAGAAAGAATGCATTCAGCCATTTATGTACACTTTAAAGGAACACAACACCAAGGATGCAAGTAAAACAGATGAAGATGCACGTGCAATTGCTCTGGACAAAGATGCATTACAAAGAGACCATACAACTGAAGTGAAAAATAAAGATCCACTTGTTAACATCTCATGTAATGGAGGAAGCTCCAAAAAATTTGAGAATTCAAAGAGCTGTTTGGATCTAAACCATCAAGGAACACAGTTCATCTTGTCTCCATCTCTTTTACATTTCAGACCCTACCAGTCTGATCACAAAGGGGAAACCGCAAAAGCTCTTGTAGGACCAGTTTTCAGAAGATGTCCAATAGGTCCTGAACAGTTTCCAATCACTCACGAACTTGTGCTTTTCCTGCCAGAAAATTCTTGCAAGCATGATTCAAAGGAGATTGTTTCTTCAATAATTTCTGTTGTCAATCCAAAAATCGAAATTAAGTTTGAGCTTCTCAGCATTGATTCTAAAGAGCCGACACAGTTTCAGGAATGTGGAGAACATGAAATTGCACCAGAAACATTACAAAGATTATCAGACCTTCAACTGGAAAATCAGAAGGACCAACCATCTGTATCTGGTTCAGCAGATCTCAGAAAATGCCTGCATCCATCAAAATATCACTTAATGCAGCAGAATATATGGGTAGCTGCTATAAGAGAGAGATGTATAGAATTAAACTTTTCTAGCACATACAGAGAAGTGTATAATTTGGTTACTGTATCATTGGACACAACATTTTATGAAGTTGGTCTTGCAGGAATAATTACATCAACTACTACGCTAAGGAGTAATATAGTAATTATTCTAAATTTGGATTTGCTCACAATGTTGTGTTATAATATAGATGATGTTAGACTTCTGTGGTTTCAAAATACACTTCTTAAAAGAACTACAATGCATGAGATATCTTTTATTAGCTACAGTAAATTCCCACCATGTTATGTTAGAGATCTAAGTTTCTGGGTTGCATCAGCAGTTGTTTTCCCCGAAACACAATTTTTCTCTATTGCGCGAGACTGTTGTGTCGATTACATAAAATCTGTTAATCTTATTGATGTTTACAAAAATGAGGATACCCAATGCTACAGTCTCTGTTATAGGTTTGTCTATCAGTCATGCACCAGTGCATTGTGTAGGTCAAAGGTCAATAGGATTCATGAATATGTTGTTTCTAAACTTGTGTTATGCCTTGGTTTAGAGCTACGGTGATGAACCTGTGGCAGCAAATAATTATGGTTATTCACTGCCGGCCTCCTTATAAAATATGAAGAGAAAAGGAAGGGGGATAGTAATACTGTAAAACAATAAAGAAAGGATAGCACATGACAAATGAAAAATACAGTGGTGGATCCAGGTATTAGAAATAGAGGGGGCCCAGGAATCAGGGAGGGACTTTCACAATTGATGGTGTAGACTACCCCAACCCCACCATGGTTGGGGCTGCAAGAATGGCTGGAAATGGCATTCTCGGACATAAATTTTTGTTTTATTTTGAAACATATTTAGGGGCCCCAGGCCGGCTGCCCCACCCCCTTATACAATACAATAATCATTGTAATACAGTAAAATACTGTATGTTATATTTTTAGTTAGATATACAAATACAACATAGTTTGATGTGAAGTATTGGGAGTATTCTTGTGTTATGAAGTATTTCACGTTTATTCCAGTGTTTTATGGTTTAAGTTAACAAATTTAATATATTTGTACTGATATATAATGTGCAATATTTACTTTGATATAAAGTCCTCAGCTTTAATGTAAAGTTAAATGCAATTAAATGCTTGAAATTAATAAAAAAAATTACAGTAGTTGGTCATCCCAGTAGAGATTGTGAGTCATCTTTTCAATCAATATTTCAGCTTAGCTCAGTCGGCTGAACTTGTTAGATGGGTCGCCATTGTCAGCATCATTTGTTACAATGGCATCAAGATGATTCCTCATCACCAGGTCTTGGCTCATATGGAATGGGTTTGTTCTGGCCAGCTGAATTTTGAATTTTAGGGTCAAATTTGACTACATGTAGTTAGGTCGGGTGGCACTGCACTTCTCCTGCTGCGGGTCCCCAGCCCAGATTTCTGATTTCCAATTTGAATGAGGGCCAATAAAGAATTATTATTATTATTATTACTATTATTATTAAAATGGTATTATTGTATAAAGCAAAACATCACTGAAAGCTGATCCATTTAATTTACTTTTGTTGATCTCAATCTCTCCAGCATTTCTAGACGAGTCCTTCAAACTCGCCTGTTCCAATGCATTCATGATCTGTAGCTGAGACAGACAGTACTGCTTATAACCTGTGCCCCAATCAATCCCCAGTCAATCAAACTTAAAAAATGACCATTTAAAAGAGGGCCCGGAACAGGGGCGGATTTAGGGGGGTGGGGGGCCGGCCCGGCCCCGTTCCCCTTTTGGGAGGTAAAAAAAGAAAAAAGAAAGAAATAAAGAAAGAAAAAGAAAAAAATGATAGCCCAGAACGCCTCAAATGTTATTTTCGGGCGTCTAGAACACAAAAATTTCGCGGGGGCATGCCCCCGGACCCCCTAGGACATTGTTGTTTCGATCGGCCCAAATTTCGCCCCCCCCCCCTTTTGGACACCTGGATCCGCCCCTGCGGAATACGCACTTTTTCTACAAACCATGTGTTTTAGCACAAAAACGTGTTTATGTGCGTTTATGCTGTCGTTTTTTAGACCTTAGCAACAATATCCAAGGGGCGGGGCTTACTAGAGAGCTCCACTAGCAGTCATCTCCAAATTAGCGCCCACCCACAAATTATTTATTTATTTATTCACTTTTAATCGGATGTCATGCTAAAAAATTACATCTTGTGGCCAAGGGCCAGATTACACGCAATATGTACAAGTTCCTATGATTCAATACATAAAATATAATATTAAAGTCAACAAAATAAGTCAAAAAAAGAAAAAAATACATGAGAAATCAAAAAAGAGGAGACAAAACATATGAACTTTAAAGATGTACTGTGTGTGCACAAAGGGAAACCATTCAAAAAGGATAAATTTAAAACTATCAATATTCAAGTTATCAAAATACAATACAATACAATAGTGGAAATACCCTCCTCAAACTTTTTTCTATAGTTCCTGTAAATGTATTTATCATGGTGCAGAAACTGTAATGTAATAATATTTATGTAGATGATCAATTTGGCATAATTCAGGTATCGACATTGGTTCAATCTTTTCGCACTGAATATCACTTTCACCAGAAACAAATTTTCACTTTTCCCGAGAACTGTAGTTGTCTCAGAAGAAGCTCACAATAGCTACCAGCCAAGTATTTTTTATAGTAAATTTTCAAGTATTCAGTTATTTTATTCATCAAACTCCCAGTCAAGTTAAAACTGAATTACATTGATGTACATTCCTGATGATGACATAATTAATGTCGAAATATTGAATCCCAACACGATGGCGTGTATTTCAATATTTGGAGTATGTATTATACTTTCTTATTTGATGTACATTACGAGGTAAATAAAAATACATAAAATTTACGATTGTGCTTTTTCTATGCCGCCGTATTTGGAAATAACTTCGATTTGCGTGAAGCAGAGTCGGCACCTCTATTCTGAAATATCGTCTTAAAACGTTCCTTCTCTCAGGCCTCACTTGTGTGCATTTGTTTTTCTTTTGAAATGTATTAATTTTGTAAAACGCTCTGTTCCTTATCAAAATAAAAATATAAGTACAGTAATAGGGAGCCTAAGAGCAATTTAAAACACAATGAAAAGCCCACAAACATTTTAAAATACCAATAAGACAACAAAAGAAAATCAATAATAAAATGTATAACAAATGTAAAACAAGAAGGAAATTAAAGATTGTTGTACAAGACAATAAAAAGCAGCTCATTAAAATTAGGGAAACAACCGATTTGAAAATTATACACCAACTATTATGAAAAAAAAACGAGTTCCTGCAATTTTATTTGGGGGTTTTTAGTAAGCCAATAAAATGTTAGTTAAATTGTCTGTAAATCATTAGAAATACTGTAAATATTTTTCGATCTTTGATTTATTGAGAGTGGTTCTTAATCTTAAAATTATTAAATGTCATTGAGTATCTAGTGCGGGACGCGATTTTTTTTTCCGTACGAAACATTTGCATGAAAATTCACTCGGGCCATCTCGGATTGACTCGAGTGAGTACGATACGAGGAACAAGAGCAGACACTTCGCAATGTCGTGACGCTCGAGTTTTACTATTATTGCTCTTTCTAGGTTTACCTACGGTAGGCCTATGAAATCTCACGGACTTATGTGATGTACGTCACTGTGTAGCTAACTGTGACCTTCTTGGATGTTATTAAATGTTAGTATATTATCTACAACAACCTGTCTCTTATACACATCTAGATGTGTATAAGAGACAGAAATTTCGCCCCCCCCCCCTTTTTGAG